TGCAAGGCAGCAATGCTATCCACTGTGCCACCATGCTGTCCATCTATATGTAATAAAAATAGAGGCATTTATTTACTTAAAAATTGTGTACTGTGTCTATAACATGCAGATATTCTTTATCATACAGTATGTTGTAGATGCACAGTTCTTTAATGCATGTGTATGTTTTGAAAGAAATGTGGTTTCAGTGAATAAAGTATTTACTGTAAAAAAAACTAAAAATTATCCACATATTCTTTTTTATTTTGGAATTAATGAAATAAGTAGAATAGCATTAACTCTTCAAATACAAATGGAGCACCCCTTATTCAGTTACATGCTTTTAAAAATTCATAGTTACTTTCAGTGTCCATAAGATTCTCAGGATGATCTTGCATTTAGCAATCTAAAGAAGTACCTCTTCAAGACACAGTTGAATAGATCCAATTGTGTGTCTGCTCTGCTGGCTGTTCAAAGATAATAAATGAATAATAAATTGTCAAAATGGTCTCCAGAGGAAAGGTTGAGAACATTTTTATGATAGTGTGGGTATGCTTCACAGCATTACACAAATGAAAAAATGAAGACAAAAAAATAATACAAAGCCACATTTTCTGTAAACTGTCCCAGCGATCTGCATGATATCATGGTGAGCCTACAGCACACTCCTGTAATAGCATAGCATATATACAATCTTATATCCTGGATAGACTCCTGTACAGTGTGACATCCAGGATATTAAACTAGACTGTGGCTGGCTCAATTACAGTAACAGGTCACAGGCAGCTCTGGAATTTTCTTCCTTTATTTAAACTTTATTTGCTTGCTTTTTGTCTATTGTAAATAGTCGTTGGACTCCCCCACCACCATCAAGCCAATGCAATCAGTGATTTTTCCCCTTAAAATCTTTGTCAGCCACTCTAATTTATGTATAAAACTCACAATTCTTCAAATCATAACGAAAAGAACAAATGTTTCTTCCCTAAAGGCTCTTTTTTTGAGAAAAGTGTCACAAATAGATCCTTAAATTCATGCCAGATTCAACCAACACTGTTATCTTTTTGTTATTAATATAGAATATCCATTGTGCATTTATGCTTATATACAGAATACTATATTAATCTTTGTTGACTAAACATCAGTTTATTTTCACAGACGTTACAGGCTTTGAATCTCATTGCTGTAAGATATCTTCCTACACTTCACTGAAACCCACATGGATTTCTAAGAGGATGCCTCTTATTACTGCATTGGTTTCAAAGGGGCAAATGGTTAATATGTAATCCCAAAGCCTTTACGCTGGCAGTGCAATACATGTGGGTTGATGGTAGTACAGTGTCAGCTTCCATCTGTCATAACCCATTACGTGCTTTTATCAGAGCTGGAAGACTGAAACCAAGTTAATGTACACAATGCAATATTTATCAAACTTCCCTGAGACATATTTTTCTCTAAAAAATTAAAAAGCTTTGGGTTATTATTATTTTAATTCGTATATTTTTAGTGTACTGTTAATGGTTCTTGCAGGAGTATTACATTAATTTAAATATCACTGTTTCCAAAGCATTCCTTGTACAGCATGTATTTGATTGAAAGCTCTAAGAACAAATGGAACTATTTCCACTGTTTTGCAATCTTAGATTCAAACATCCAACAAAACACTATCTAAGGGAAGCACCTGACTGACACAATTCATAAGTCATGTTTAAAAGTCTTTAAATTGGGCTAACATACAGTAACGTTTTCACTGGCCACGCCCCAAGCCCGATATCTTTCTTCCATGTTAAGCACTTCCAGTAGGTGACATGAAATATGTGCAGATGGTTGATTTAAAAGCATTTTTTCATATTTCTCTTAATCTATGAAACCTTCAAGAAAGGTATGACATTTTTATTTCCTAAAATTCATGTTTTCTACTCTGACAAACATGTGGTTGGTACCACCATAGTCCTCAATAGAGACCTTCTAAAGTCTCTATTCCCTGTTCTTCATATTGGATTTAAAGATGAAGTAGGCAAGAATGTTTAAAATTTCAAAACAATATCACAATGGATGGTGGATATGTGGAGAATATTCTTACAAGAAATAGTACATTATAAAGGTTCAAGAAAAATATATTTTTGCTAATGGATATTATACACAAAATAAAAGGATATCTAATAAGATTAGATTTTGTTTTACTTCTGACACTATTTCTCTCACATTCAACAGATTTAGTAGATGGCAAATCATTTATCTGAATCCTAATGTACTGTATACAGCTATCTCTTAATTATAAGAATGCACCACACACATTTCAGGCTATTAACAATTTGCTTGTGTACTATTTCCTGCAGCTCCCTTGTTTCCCTAAATTATCAACTAGACTAGAATAAATCTGGTTCTTTCTCATGTAGCTGTAGAAATGGAGAATGCATTTAATTTTGCCGTGTTTTAGTCGGGATATCTGAAATTACATACAGAAATTCTCACCAATAAAACAAATCTACAAAAACACATAGTTTAGAGTCACATACAAAATACATAAATTAGTCAATATTTTACCATGTTATTCTTGTTTAAAGGTGTAAAAGAATAAACAGTAACTGCAAATATTCTGTAACTGCAGCATGGCTTGAGCAAACTTTGCTATTATAGCAATTAGTGTGTAAATGTTTTATTGCAATATGAAACAGGATGTGTATTGAGGTGTATTTTTCTTATTCATACTGTATTAAGATTTATTTATACATTTTTATTTTTTCTTACTTATATAAAGCCTTAACAACTTTATTGCTTTATATGCTGTTAATTGTTCCTGCCTTACTGCTATGACATTTATACTTGGGACGGATATCGATCGTATACAAAATTTGTGTTCTCTGAGGCATTAGGCATTTATCATGAACAGTGTTCACAACTTAGTTAACATTAAGCAAAGTAATGATGCTGTACTCACAACACTGTGTGACAACACTAAAACACTCAGTAGATCCAAGAGATCTCTACTGCACCACAAGCCACGAACACACCACACAACTCAACTTCACTAACTGCACACTGAATGGGGAATCCTGGTATGAGTTAACTGATCACATGAACCAAATTCATTACAGAACAGCCTAATAAGTAAGAGTCACCCTTAATTAGGCAGGCAAGGTAACAGTGTTTCTTATAAATGCTTGATTTTTATTCGAAGAAAAGAAAGTAGCTCATTATTAATGAAACCACCTTACATGAGTATTTTTCTCCTTATTACCCTTCAGTACGAAGGGGGGAAATTCACATGAATTCTACATGGTAAAGGGCATGTATGTGTACTATTATTATCAGTATGCAAATATATTATTAATAATAATGAGAAGAATTTATGTTACAAAGTGTTCCATAAAAAAAGGTTCCAAATATTCACTAAGCTGTATCTGGCACTGTAGTTAAATATTCTGATTACTGTAACTATGCCATAAGAGGAAAACCAGGTAATAATTGAGTTTTATTAGGGTCATATGGACCCCATGAGTCATCACTAATGTTTACTTTTAGAACCAAGAGGACTAAGGAATACTGTACATTGTACAAAAAAAGCACAGGGAGGGAACTGTTATAAGCTGCAGTCACAGTTGCTAGAAACACAATTAATTGCAGGCCCACACAGTTCTTTAGAGTCTCAGTAAAAAGGTCACTCCTGCCATTATTTTCAGCAAGTTTTGATTCATGACTCTAAACTCCTTAACTGTGAACCTAGTTATAAAGGCTGCAGAGTTTTTTATTTTATTCTAAATATATTTTAACACAAAATAAATCAACATCTACAGTCTTGGAAGCACGCTTGGAGTTTTTACATCTCATGTGCTCATATTAGCCTAACATACCGTCTTCACACCAAGGAGCTGAAAAACATTAGCTTTAATTTAAGGGCTTGTGAAATATAGTCATTTGCATAAGTATTGATGCCCTGTATCCAAAATTTCTTTATTCAATAATTATTGTTTGCTAAACTACATTATTGTGGTAAATAGTAATTTAGCAAATAATTCTAAGTTTATACAGTAGAACAATGAACTGTGCCATGGCTTTCATGCCTGAGTGAATTAACCGATTAAAGACCGTGTTCAATTACTTATGTCAACATTTATTGTAGATACTGTACTGTACATTGTGGATCCCTATATTATAAATAGGGATGTCTAGACAGCACACATTTTTTTCATGTTAAATTTAGTTTACGATTCCCGTAAAATATTAACTATTAAAGAAAATCATGTTATAAAGTGCTGGACATGTTGTAAAATTAACATTGCTTCTCTAGTATGTATTGCATTCCTCTGCAACATTTTTTGCATTTCTTAGGAGAACACTTTTTTAGGAGAACACTAGGAGAAACCATTTGTAGGTCAAATTCTAAGTGCTTGACAAATACATGTAACAGCATTATATACAGTAGTATGATTCACCATGTAGACTTGGTGAAAAATGAAAGATGACCATCCTTTTTACAGTGTGTTTTAGTTTTCTGAATGACAGAGATGAAATAGCGATGTAGCATAATTGTATAGAAGATAAAAAGGAATAGACTGTAACACAAAAATTCAAGAATGGGCTAACATCTTGTGAATGACATTTAATGTGTAAGTACAGAGTGTAGCATGTAGCAAAAATGCAAGATGTGGGAAATACCAAATTTTAAGAAATTACTTATGAAAAAATCTTCAAAATATTTGTAAAGTTCCAAATGAATCACAAGGTAAGTAGATATGGTGGTATTTAATAGGTAAATAAACTGATAATTTTAGTGAGCACCAATATTTTCTCTGATAGAAACTGAAGATTTTAACAGCTGTTTTATTTGATTTGTTACATAATTTACACCAGATAACTGGTAAACATAAAACATAAAAGAAATGTAACACCCTTCCAATAAGTCAGTGCAATATTTAACACAGCAAGGGAAATAAAGAACTAGAGATATTTAATTAGCTTATTGTAAGATGGCCAAATCTGAATGATGCGCTAACAGAACAGGATGAAAACAGTGACCTTACCTTTATTTTATCATTACTCTTCATTCTACTGAACAGTGTCTCCTGGAAGCTAGCAAAGTCTACCTGGTTGGAGCCTCCCAGCAGATCCTGCAAAGGAGAAACCTCATTAAAAAGGAAAATTATTTGGAATGCTATTATTTAATGTACAGCACAACACCAAACTTTGGGAAGTTGAAAACAGAATTTATAGTATTTTATAAAATTAAATTTGTAATTATTTCATTATTCTGAATAAGCCTATACAAAACATATATAGTAAATGTAATCCTTTGCTTAAGCAGATGTCAATTTTAAAAATTCTCTAATTTACAATGATAATATGGACAAGACCCATTTATACAGCAAGGCATTTGCTTGAGTGATCTGAGCAAATTAGATCAAATGTACTTTACAGCAACAGCAACATCCCATCTAGGGTAAAAAATTAAAAATCTCCAGTCCGGAGCCTGCAGCCCTAACTTCTGTACTACACCACATACTAAAAATGGTAGAAAAGAGAAATAATGGCTGTTGTTAAAACATGTCAAATACTACTTATAAATATACAGTATTAAAGCAATTGTACTGCATTAAATTGCAGGATATATAGTCAAGAAAGAAGAGCCAATTATAAAAGAGAAGCTGCACTGCAATAAACACGGACAGAATTTACAAGAAATGGGATTTTGTGACCTGGAAAATAGAAAAAAAACCCAAAGGGGGTGTCATATTACCTACTTTTTCATTTTATTTTTTTAGTTGGTGCCAGTCTTATTTGTGTTTGTTTCTCTGTAGTTTATTTTGTTTAGATTGGTATTATTCTGGGTAATTAATCGTTTTGCAAAAAATGCTTCTGAGAAGAGTTTATTGAGAAGACATATACTGGGGAAACCAATTAGCATTTTAAAGTGGTTCAAAGCCAATTGCTGAGGCAAACAAGCAGTGATATACTCTCCATTTCACATTATTTTCCCTGTGGGCAAACTGCCCACACCAAAGTAAATGATTCAGCAATTTGCCCATAATTTGTCCACAGTGCAAACCAGGAAGGTATAAAACATATGTATTTGTGTTTTTTTTTTTAAAGAAGAGGTAAGTAATAACGTCAGCAGAAAACAAAAGTAGAGTAGTCTCCAAATGTATTCATACCTTTGATGAACTGTAACTAAAAATGGATTTAGCATTAAAATCCAAGTGTGCATTCAGTTTCTAGTCCTTTACTATGCAAACTAATAAAAAATCAAAGGCTTATTAACTTCCAATACAGGAATTGCGAACAGGGCATCTGATAAAAAATGATTTCTAAATACATGACTTTCATATTTACTCATACTCCAGCTGATTTTTTTAACTCTCTTTTGGCTTTGGGAACCTTGAGGATGTGCTTCCTGAAATTATTAATTCATTCTTGTACATCTTGTATACTTCTAAGACTTTTTCTATAAAAAATAGAGGATTAAATTTACAGCATTTATTTACGGTTGTAATGTTTAACAGTTTTAATTCAAGCTAAAACATTATATATTCAGAAATGTGTCGTTTTTTACAATTGTACAGCTCATATAATCATTGATTTATTATCCATTTACTGTATATCACATTCAGTTGGTAACCTGCATTTTATTTTGCTGGAGAAATGTGAATTACATTTTATCAACAGTATAAATGTGGTGGTAGCTGCATATAAGAATGCTGAAAGACAAAAAATGTGGAAAATTAAATGTATGATCCAAGTATCACTAATTAAACGCAAAGAAAAAAGACACAAACCAGATACTGCACATTATTTTTTAATTACAGAGGTATACTAAAATAATAAGATATTTTTGTTGATGGTAGAGACATAAAATGCAATACTGTTGAAGCTAAATATTTATCAGGCTGCCAAAAATGGAGGACCTGTATTGTTAATCAGGTTATAATTAACTGCTTGAGAGGTGGTGCCTGTATTTGTAACAGTTAATTAAGTCTCAAAACCCTAGGCTCTAAGTGTGATAAGCTATTACAAATTCAAGTTTCTTATCTCCATCAGGTCAGAATTACAGATATGAGATCCCAATGGAGATTTCACTAAAGGGGGAACTAGCAACAAATCTGCAGTTATCACCATGTGTGGTTTCATGCATGCTGGATTACCGAAAGCAAACTTAAATTACTTTGCATAAAATATGCATATTACTGTATAATCATTAGGATTTACAGAATTCAGGACAGTACTATTTTTTAAGGAACACAGCTTTGGAAGTAGCATGCATGACAGTACCATTAATAAAATTGCAGCAAATCATATTAATTTTAGAAACACCATCGAGTTCTCCAGCAAAACTCAGTTTTAGAGCACACAAAATTAATTCTTATCTGAAATTCCATTTTTCATTCTAAAACGAATCCCTGTCCCTGTTTATAGATCTTTAATGTAAAACTCATGAATTGTCTCCAACCCTGCTCCAGGAAAGTCTTAATCGAGTTAGTCTTAAAGGTCACCCTAAATCACCTGTCTTTTAAAGATTAGGATTACTTGGAAGTTATTGATCAATCAAGAAAGTAATTTGTTCCTTTAAGGGAAATATGGTCCTTGAGGACTGAAGGATATTTCAAAGTTTTTTACAAATTCTCTCTCAATTACTTTGTTTAGCCAATCACCTGTTTAACCGATCACAGTAAAAAAAATCAACATATTAAGAGACTGATGTTTTAGTCGTTGCCTGCCTGTACTGTACCAAATTTTCTGGAGGCCCTTGCAGTAACAGTAAGAGGGTAGGTACAGTATAGTCAGCGTCTTTAAACAAGTTTTAAGATTTAAAAGTCCTTTGTCTATGTGCCATCTGCATATACAGCAAAGCCAGAAGGAGGACTTGGATCCTGAAGGTCTACCTGGAATAATTCATGTGTGAACTTGATTGAAGTACCCAAGACAGGGTTCTGGGACAGATGTAAATACGTTTGTTCCCAGTTCTAAAATAAAAGTCTTAACCTCATTGTTTGTTTAACATATTCTACATGAACTTGTACATTTTTTTACATCTGAAATCTCATTTTATGTGCACTAAGATCTGGGGTTTACTTCTTTCTCTCTGATGCTTAACAAACCTTTTACAATTTTCTGTATGTGTTTCCTGATGCTTCACTGGATATGTTAGAAAAGAGAAAATTACAACACCAGTTGAAGTATGGTTTTGCATAATTCTTTGTGATCATTAAGCAAGGTACAAAAATGAGGAATGGTGCATTTATTTTAAATGTGATTGACAGGGTAAACAAAGTATCCTTAATCTGCTCTGTGTACCTCTTTTAATTAAGATGAGTTCTTTAATGTAATGATTTTTTTAAAAACTCAGCTATTTGATAAACTTGCAATAGACAAAAGTGTCCTGTATTTGATTAAGCTTGCCTTTTTCTTGCTCATGAAGAACATCTAACTGATGACAAAGGACACTGACCTCTCCGTAATTTGCCAAAAATGCTAAGACGGCCTGCCTAGGGCTACCCACGGATGAAAATTAACGACAACTCTGTTCTACTAAATAAAAATTATGTACAAAGACATTAAAAATGCACCAAATGAGGACTGGAAGCAATATCATTTGTTGCATTTTAATGCCTCTCAGTATATAAGTACATATCTACTTAAGATTTAGGGTGTGGATATTCATTTACGTAACTGCATAAATATGTAAAGAATTGCAATTGTTTTACATTTTTTTTCCAAAGAAGAAGAAAAATTAAATGCCATATGAATCTAGAAAGAAGCTGCCAAAGTTATTAAAGATGCTGACAGGAGTGATTCATCTTAGAAATTTTAAATTATGGGTGGGAAACTCCAATCTTTGACAAGCGCAGGGTCCCTAAGCTTTATTTCCATACTATTTACTTAAGAACTAATTATTTGGAAATGAGGTCAAAATTACTTTTTGTTCTTTAGGTCTTAATTAGTTGATAACAGACAATTCATTGTGAAATTTTCAAGGTTGTGGTCCTTGAGGATAAGATGTGCACATCTCTGTCTGAAATAATGTGTTGTTCTCACCTAGCCCCATTGATTAGGGGATTTAATGACACTGTAATCAAAAAACGTTATTAGTATGTTTTCTTGTTGCCAACTTATTCTCTTAAATATTGAATACACTTTCACAAAAAAAGCAAACATATATAAATCATTCCAAAACATGCAGTGCTTGTTCATTTTTTTTCCAGCAGTATTATTTGATATTTATATTTGTTAAACTTCTCATTAGATGGTTGCAGAACCTTAATTATTTCATTTGAAATAAAAATGACTTTTAACTTTTGGTGTGTTTGCTGCTTGAAGTAGTCAACACATACACTATTTTAATGCTTGAGGGTTTGAGTAAGTAAGCAAATAAAGCTCAGCCTGTCCCTTGCAAACTACACACTCCTTTGATGTGAAAACACAATGCAACAGAGTCGCTGGAGTAGTGTTCTTTTGATTTCTCTATCTGTGCTAACTAAACCATCAATAACTGCAAAGTTACAGTCCCTCAGCCTACCTGCCTGCATCCCATGAGACTTAAGTGTCCACTACCTGATGAAATACTTTCTCCAGGAATCGAACCTTGGACCTTGTGAGTAGCAGGCCAGCATTTAACCACTGTTAACCACTGGTGCCCAGCCACAGGAATCCAGACCGAATCTAAAGGGTCTCACACCACATATGGGCCTTTGCTTCCACACCTAGCCACGGTATCACCTCAGGCTGGCTATGTGTCAGCCTGTGTTCTGCCTGTTCCACTAAGTCACTCCCCCTGAACTGTGACACCCTACCTGTAGCTCTTGGGTCTGTAACACCTACAGCATCCACCTTCATGCCCTAGGGGGCAGCACTGGTTGTATTACCTATTATCACCTCAAGAAAAGAGCATACATTTCAGAACAGGACATTAATCCTTTCCAACAATATACTGTACAACAGATTGCTGAAAACCAGAGGATCCTAGATCCTATCTTAGAGGACTAAGAACAGAAGGGACATCTTTCTTGATCTAAAGACACACAAGGGGTATTTTTAAATGATAATGCCGGTGTCATTAACTCCTGATTTAGCATCAATTTTGGCATTTGCAAAACATCACTGTACACATCTGAATAAC